TTTCACTAATGACACAAACATGCTACAAAAGAAAAAGCCAGAAATTCACATTAGAAGAGCGTATTCCGAAATGAAAGGCAAGAACAACAGTCCGTACATCTTATATGAATAGTGTTATGCTGCAGGAGATTTTACGAAACAAGCAGAGATGTGTGCAGACTCTCTTATCCTCCTCACGCCTGTTCATAAGAGCATTCTCCGGACTCCGACCTCCAGGGAAGGAGGCGGGTACTTGAAGGAGAGTGAATTAAAAGACTTAGCTAGCTTATTTATTTCTTATTTATGACCACATCTATCATCTGAAATAATAACGGGACAGCTATTGTGTATTAAAGCCGTTCAACTGTTTCAGCCAGTAAGAAGTGTCACCCTAGCCTGGCCAAGCTCCAGCTCTAAGGACGTCTATACTTGACTGCAGCTTTATGTGACTAATGGGAACCATCAGTCGGTTCCAATTATGAGGTGCTGGAAAGAGAAAACAATTCTTCTCTTTTGTAAATTTTTATATGGTTTCTGAAAAATGAGAGTGAGGAAAAAGAAGCATTACTTACATTCAAATCCCTGAAGTATTCATTATAGTCAAGGGCATATCCTACGACAAACTTGTCTGGAATTTCAAATCCAACAACTAAAAGGAATCATAATTTACCGTTTAGATTACAGAAAACATCACTTTCAAATCTAGAATGTGCAAACATTCTCTAAGGAACTCTAACCCATTTCATATAAAACTTTTTTGGGTTAAAGATGGTTAAATGATCGGCAAAAAGAAAATCACTTACAGTCTGGTCTATATCCAACACTTCGAGGGGTCCTTTTCACCAGCAAGCTGTTGATTATAAAATGTGACATGTGACACACATGTGACTACAAGACATTACAAAAGAGAACACTCGTGTTCTGCAACATGATTTCATCTGCATTTTAGCATACTGTGGTCAGTCTTAACAAACCCAAATAAAGACTGTGAAATGGACAGCTAAATCACAGGGGTCCCTGGCCAGGGACAGCCAGGAGTTTACACTACAGACGAGGCCCCTGATTGATCTCCACCGGGAACACGATGGACTGTCCTGAGAGCGGCCCCCTGACTACTCACATGCCCACCAAAGGGCAGCTAATCGGGAGGATGAATGGGTGGGGAGGGCCAATGAGCAAAGATGAAAAGATAAAGGTTCTCAGTCCAAAATCCCTGGAAATACAATCCCAAAGTCACAAAGGGGTGCGGGAAGGGTGAGCATCACCTTTCAGGATTTTCAGTAAGTGGCTTACAAAGAGGAACTTTAGGCTAAAATACAACTAGCATGCTAAAGGAGCTAGTACTTGGTTTTGAGAGCAGAAACTGCAAGTAGGATGCGTCAGCTCTAACAAAAGCTAATTTCATAACCCAAGTGCTGCCTGCTGAAATTTTTCAGCCATGAGAAGAACCTGTAGTGATGTTTTGAAAGCCTTTATGTATGTTAAAGGCAGTCCCAACAAAACTTAAGATTTCATACCTTCCTAGATAAATATATTTAAAGGGCTGGAAAGGACCTAAAGTGATTCTTAACCTTAGCTGCACATCAGAATCACCTGGGAACTTTCAAAAATATGTAACAAAACTCAGATACCCAGGCCATACCCCAATGCATCAAAATCACTGTGGATGGGACACATAGGTGGTTTTTTGTTTCTCAAACTCTCAGGTGCTTGAGAAGCACTGGCCTAGGCCTTAGTCATCAAGGGATCATCTAATCAAATCCTTCACGACTCCCCTTCCAGTAATTAGAGGACACACTTGGACTCGATTTCCATATAGACAGAAAGTAACAAACCAATCACAGCAAAACTGAACTCATTCAGAAATACTCCAGAAAAGGTATCATTAACTCAAAGCAAGCTGTAATAAGAGTACAGGGGAATTCAGCACCTCACATGCCTAGAGATCTGAATGAATTATTTTGAAGTAACTGTAAATTCACAGAAAGTTGCAAAAAAAAATGCGCAAGGAGGTCCCATCTGCCCTTTGTCCAGTTTCCTCCAACGAACATTTCACATAACTGTAGTAGATTACCACACTGGTGGACTGACCTTATCCAGACTTCGCCTATCTTATGCGCTCATACTTGTGTGGGTGTGGTTCTATGCACATGTGGGTGTATGGAACCAGCACCACAATCAATACAGAACTTTCCATCACACATGGCTACCTCTTTATTTATAGTCACATCCACCCCCTAACTCCTGGCAGCCACTAATCTGTTCTCCATTTCCATCACTTTGTCACCTTAAGAAGGCTGTATAAATGGAATTATACACTACGTATCCTTTGAAATTGGCTTTTATTAGCACAGTTCCCTAGAGGCTCCCCCAGATCGTTGTGCATATAATAGTTTGTTTCTTTTTAGTGCTGAGGAGTCTTCCACAGCAGGGCACACTGGTCTGTTGAACCGGTCACCTACCGAGGGACATTTTCGTTGTTTCCAGTGTGGGGCTGCTACAAAATGATGTGGCCATGAACATTCACACGTAGGTTTCTGTGTGGACACATGCTCTCATTTCTCTGCAATAAATGCCCAGAGTGCAACTCCTGAAGTCGTACGGCAGTTACACGTTCAGTTTCTTTTCTTTTAATTTTATTTTTTATTGAAGTGTAGTTGACTGACACATTCAGTTTCTTAAGAAACTGGCAAACTGTCTTCCAAAGTGGCCCTAGCATCTGACATGCCTGTCAGATAATAGTTTTTTAAGTTTTAATTTAACATTTAAGTTAGAAAGCTTCCAAGTCATTCTTAACCTTGCAGTGAATAAAAAGAATAAGCTTTATACTTACTTTTTATGCATAAAGCACAGATACAAACACTACATAAACGCACACATCATATAGTTGTGACATTAAAATGTAATGGTGAGGGAAAAAAACTAAAATAAAATGTAATGCAATGGTGAGGAAGAGATTAGGAGGAGAAAAGGTTGAGAAATAACCGACTTAGGCCAACTCCATCACTCAGAACTTCCCACCTCCAGCAACATAAAACACCTCTCTCGTGAGGCACCCTACCTCAACGCTGCAGCATATTCCAGGAGAGGCACAACAGAGTATCTAGAGGCGTACATGCCACACTAAGCTGACATTTAAAACCCTAACAGCATGCAGAGAAAAAAGCAAGCACGCTGATTGGTTTACAGGAAATTACTTAGTGCCCTAGAATGCATCATTTCTCCACACTCCTCATGCCGGTCCCAAATCCATTTAAAGTAAAAACTCACTGACATACGCTTGCGCCACCTATCAGAAAAGCCCCAAAGGACAAATTGCTGACACATGACTCAGTAGGTTTACTGTGATTCAAACACATTTGACAGATACTTTGATCCTTTAAAAGGGGGTTATAAAAACCAGTTAATCATCTAGGGGGAAAAAAGTTGGATCACGATCTGACCCCCCCACAAAAATTGCAGATTGGTCAAAGATGCAAACAGAACAAAACCATCCAGGGATGTCATCCTACAAAAAACTTCAAATAGGAAGGCATGAACTCTGAGCCAGGCTGCCTGGGTTCCAATCTCACCCCTATAGTGCTTTAGCTCTGTGCCTTTGGACAAGTCCCCGTGCCTTGGTATCCCTATCTGTGAAGTGGGAATCATCGCCTGTGTCACAGTTGCTGTCGGGTGAAACTGTAATTAGGGATAAACACAGGTAGAACAAATAAAGCAAAAGCCAAACAGCACAGGTAGGACCAGGAGGTGAGGCTGGCTTAGAAGAAAGGAAGCAGGCACTGTAAACTTTCCATGTGGAGGCGAAACAAGAGGCAGCGTCCATGACCAACGCATCACTCAGTTCCAGGAGCTCCGGAGCCTCAGGGCCCACCCCTTCCTACCACCTCCCTAATCCCTTTTGTGGATCTTTGGTCTCAGTTTTCCAAAGAGGCCCCCAATCCTCTGCCATGCTACCCGGGACAAGTTGATATCATTACTAGATTGCTGAAAAGCCAAATGTCAAAAACATTAGGCAATAAGGTGCCTACACCACAAGGCTTTAAAATATGACATAATTATTTACAAAGGACACTTACTGAGTCTTATTTGAGATTATGTCACTTTTTTCAGATAAAACAAGAGTTGAGAACATTTAACCTTACAAAGAAGCAATTACCTAATCCTTTTTCAAATGAAAAAAGTATCCTATGTTGACACGCTACATACATACCTTGCGACCTTGACCATCTTTGGATTATGCTGCTTGACCAAGGACAGCAAGGTCTGCATTGTTTTGCCAGTGTCAATTATATCCTTTAAAAAAAGCAAAGACATTTAAATGGTAAATAAAATCGTCATAGCTTTAAATTCAGTAATCATGTAAACACAAAATGCCAAAACCCCACGTATAACTGGAACAATGTCATTCCTTTCAGTGCAGTAATTCTCATAATTCATTCTGAGGTAGATCATCTGGCTCTCAGCAAGCAACAGGAACATCAGTCCTCACAACTGGGTGTTGTAGGCACCAAGAGGTCAGCGACAGCTAATTTAAATATATATGTGCAAGTATGTACGCACGTATTTTATTAAAGTTGTGATGCCACCCACCCTTCATTATAAAAGATTTTTTTTCAAAAATTTCAGATCAGGATGCTCTCCTTCCAACTCTTGGATGCAGGTGGTTAAGAGACCACATTGAGAAAACACTCCTTTACACCACCTTAAAAGAATCCGAAGTAATAAGGTTTTACCATATAGAATGACTTTACAGGAAAGTGAATCTCAGCTATTTAGTCAAAAGTAGGACATTATTTAAAACAAACCCATCTCTAACTGAGAAAATATTTCTTAAACCATAACCATAATGCTCTTCAATGAAAATATTCTCTACGATGGTATAAAGCAGTGTTCACAAAGTGGGACTACAAGTCATTAGAAACATCACAGCTGGAGACTTGTGAGAAATGCAGATTTCTGAGCTGTGGTAAACAGAACTCTGATGGCCCCCAGGCCTCCTGCCCTCTGGTGTACACACCCACATCAATCCTCCCGACCCCCAACCCCCCAGTGTGAACAGAACCTATGAAACTCATGGCATGGTCGCTCCCGTGATTAGGTTATGTCATACAAGATGACTGTAGCAGCCCGGAGAGAGATTCTGCGCTGGTCTGGAAGAAGCCAGCTGCCCTGTGAAAGGGCCACGTGCTAGGACATGAGAATGGCCTGGCAAGAAGATGGAGGCCTCAGTCCTGCAACCACAGGGGCTGAGTTCTGGAATGGATTTGGGAGAGTACCATGAGCCACGAGGGACATAGGAGCCCCAGCCTTGATTCAGCCTGATGATACCTGGAGAAGAGAACCCAGCTCACCTACACTTGAACTACTGATCCCTGACAACGGAGATAATTAACGTGTTGTTTCAAGCCGTGAAGTTTGTGGCAATCTGTTAGGTGGTATGACCCCAGACAAGATGAATTAATAAATCAGTATTTTAAAAAAGCAACCAATTCCCAGGGATACACATGTACACAAACTCTTTGAAAAGAATGTTACTTGTTTATTTTTTAATCTATAAACTAAAGTTTCTAAAAACCCTGACAACAACAGAAAATGAATTAGGGGTTATTGTTGCTCTTAAGCCTTACATCACTTTACATAAAAGAGTGAGAACCCATTCTGTTGGTGGGAGTGTAAAGCATACAATCACTTTGGTGAATAAGATGGCCATAACATTAAAACTGAAAATGCACAAATTCTACAACCCAGTCTTTCCACTTCTAAGTGCTTGTATCTAGAGGGAACTCACACTTGTGCACACAGGGCATTGCAAGAGAATGCTCTCAGCAGACCTGCTGTAGTAGGAAAAATTGGAAGCAAACTCCCTATTTGTAGGGCAATAAATAGGTTAATTTGTACACTGCAATGCTATGAAAGAGTTTAAGGCCAACTAACTCTGTATGTCTCAACTTGAAAAACCTTAAAACCAATTTTGAGTAAGAATAACAAGTTGCAAGAAATACTATATACAGTGCAGTACTATATAAATTATCAAAAAATGTATTTTGTATGTGGTGTTATATATGCAATAGAATAAAAAAATGGGTGGGAATTTTATGTATCTTTAAAAGAAAAAAATTTCCAGCCAAAAAGAGAGGGGTAAGAAATATACCAAATTTTTTCCATTATCCAGTATAAATAAATTACTAAGTATTTCTCACAAAAAACCAACCTCACTCCCTTACAACATGAGCCCACCATTAAAACTGATGAAAAGGAATTTCTTTCCCTGGGTTACCTTTAGGACTGTGCATACCAAGTTAGAAAATTCATAAACAATACATTAAAGGTATGTAAAACTTACTTCAACAATCAAGACATTCTAGAAGAAAAAGAGAAATGAAAATCAGTACAATGAATAAGACAGTGTTTCTAATTATAATTTTAATCACATTATAACAAACTCTAAGGATTTATTCAAATTCTTGTTTTAAGACACTTTACTATATCAAGCCCTGATTTAAACAAGTGGGCCATAAAGATTTGGACCTCTTTAATATGAAATTTTCACTTCAATAGAATTTTTATCGGTCAAAAATAAAATTTGACCCATATGTTCATTTTTTAAGTTTTCATTACTTAAACGGAGCTCTAATCTTGGGCAAGTCACGAAATTTCTCTGGGCCTGTTTCCTATGTGCAAAATGAGGGACTTGAAGTTGTATGCGTCTTCCGACTCTAACATTCAAGAACTATAATTCGTACGATAACTCCAAAATCATGTATTTAACTTATCATATGGGATCCAATTCAAAACCCATTTTCTCAGTAGGCTAAAAGTGACCTGCACTTTCCAGATGTGTTCATATTCTTGGACTAAACTAAAGAAAGATACCAACCAACGCTTCCTCCTACCATAAACCCTTAGCCCAGTTTCTACCTCTCAGAACTTTAGAGCTGGAAGAACCCTTACAGAAAATACTGCCTAACAATCACCTCCAAGGTAGAGAAGAGTCCTCCCTATTCTTGGGAATGGGGTTGCATTTTACATACTGGTTATAATCATTGTCACAAGAAGACTCATGCTACATTGTTTATTTATAGTTCTCATTTCTCTGTCACATACAAATAGCATCAGAATTTTAATGTTCTATAAATTCTTCTAAGTCAGTGGTTATAAAGGTAGGGCACACAAGAGCCACTGGGTTGAAAGAAAAAAATATTAGAACTTTTTTTATACCTCACCTTAATCTATAATTCTGTAACTCCGTGTGTCATATAATATACATTATATTACTACCATAGTTCATACATAGTTTACTCCTTTCCTCATATCACAACTAATTTGTCTCTTTTCAAAAGACACTGTTACCTAAATCATAAGGAAAACTGAATATACAGTTGACTCTTGAACAAGGTGGAGACACTGACCCTCCGCACAGCTGAAAATCCACATAAAACTTTACAGTCGGCCTTCCATATCCAGTTAACCGTACTGGTAGATTCAACCAACCGCAGACCGTGTAGTAGGGAAGTATGGATTTATTGAAAAAAAATTCACGTATAAGAGGACCTGCACAGTTCGAACCCGTGTTGTTCAAGGGCCAACTGTAATCAATTTATGGACCAGTAATTGTTTCACCACCTACTATGTGGTTCTTTCTCAGCATTTTCTCTACCCCCAGCTAGCACATTTGAAGGATAGCATTTGCCCATCAGTAACTATGGCTTACTGATGCAGCAATTTGTACCACGGGATGGAGTTGTAGTTATTATGTGAAAGCAGCATTGAATTATGCAACAGAAATTAGATTCTAGTGTTGGCTCTAATACTAAGAAGTGGCACGATCTTGATTAAATCATAATCACAAACCTTTAGTGGTATGAAATAGTTTACATAAATCAAAGTCTAGAAAGATTAAATATTTGTCCAATACAGAACTGTAGCATCTAGAGTATAATATCATTACTGTTTTAAAAAATGAATGAAAATTGCTACCATTATTGAGAGCTTATTTCACATCAAATAGCTACATCCTTCCTTCATAAATGAAAAAATGAGGCTCAGAGGTCAAATGACTTGACCAAAAGTCATAAAAATAGCCAGGAGGTAGAGTATAGATTTGAAAAGGTGTTTTGGGGGTCCAAAGCCCATATTTTCAACCACTAACTGGAAAAAAGGGGGGAAATATTCATATACATATGCATCTATACACACACAGTACATCCCCCAAAGACAAACTGAAGAAGAAAGTCTCAATAACCTATAATCTCACCACCAAGACATAACTTCACCCACCTGAGGCATCTTGATTTTTCCCCACAATAAATGTACTTTACTGTGACTACCATGAAAAAAAGTTTTTTTTGAAACAGAGACCTTTTAAGATCACACAGCTATGCAGTGGGACACAGCCATTAGGTAGGAAAGGCAAGGTTGAATTGAATTACAGAAAGCTTTGAAGGCTAGGCCCTTTCCAGGACTAAAAACTGACTATATGAGTAAGGGCTTCCAATGACTTCTAAATATGGGCAAAGCATGCTGAAAGGGAAGGAGGGTAGGTCTGGCAGGAAGGGAAAAGATTCAACAGATTATAACTTCTTTGAAGTTTTCAAAAGATGTTGAAGAGGACAACATTAGTTTGGTATGACCCTGAGATGGAACCACAGAATTTGACACAAGTGTTGTATGTTTCCTTACAGATACTCAGTCAAGTAAGTGATAAACATTAAAATTTAAAAACCAGAGGAAGAAAAGAGTCTGGAGCCAGAAAGACCTGTATTTAAATTCAAGCTCTACCACTTAACTGGCAGTGTGACTTTGGACAAGTCCATTAACCTTGCTGAGTCCTAGTTTCCTGATCTGTAAAACGGGGATAATATCTACCTCACAGGATTCTTGTAGCTCTTTTATGAGATTATGACTTTATATTTGACACTGTGGCTATAAGCAAAAAAACAACCGGCAGCTGAAAAAAAATAGCATTCCATCATTTATCACTGGTTACTCAAAAATCATTTCAATGTATCAGAAGAATAATATTCAAATATCTTAATAGCTCTGTTAGCTCAGCCAAATGTCTATATTGGAAGAATTTTGATGTATTTAAAACGCTTTTTGCGATCCCTTCAAATAACAGTATGTTTTAATGTACTAAGTGTTCTAACTAACAGAAACTGTGTGAACAGCTCTACATGCATTGTATCACTTAATCTTCTTAACTCTCTGGGGTGGCTGCCATTACCATTCCACCTTACATATGGGACACAGAGAGGTTAAATAACCTGCCCAGGGGCACATGGTTAGGAAGTACCGCACCAGGCTTTGAATCAAAGCTGTCTGGCCCTAGAAGCCACACCATCAGCCACTACGTTATATTGTTTCTCTATCTTTAAGAAACTATGCGTGGTCTATTTTTAAAAAGAAGACTGTCTTTCCCCCAATATATATCTATTTTTTTTTCAGAAGGATCTGAAATTAGATCCCCATTGAGGCAGACGGGCAGTACTTGGCAATACAGACTTTCAGTTTAATGTTGGATTCTGCTGCCTCTTTGCTGTACGACCTAGAGAAAAAAATACCTAACTTAGATTGTTTCCACGGGTTAAATAAATCTTTTTTGTTTGTTTGATTGTTTGAGGGCATAAACAACTATCTAAACTGCCTCTTGGTGATGGATCGAAAGCTCAGTGTTACTGACTGACCCTTTGTATGGAGTGCTCTTTACTTCCCCTTCAAGATACATACCTTTCCAGTTAAAGTTGAGAGATCATCTCCACCAATCACTTTTATATCGCCTGTTGACTGGTCATTCTAGTTAAAAAAAAAAGATATAAACATACATGTCTATCCGTCCATGTGTACACACACATTTCAAATTATCAAATGGGAGCTAGAAGATTTAAGAAGTTAGCTATCTAATGTCATAGCATTATGATATTCTAAATGATACAAATTACAAGAATTACGTTTCTATGAATGAATGACTAGGTAACTTTCAACTAGAGATTAGTAAAAACTAAAAAGTTCTATTGGCCATTACTGATTTAATGCTTTCAAGAGTCCTAAAAATAGGGTGCACCCATTTTTCCAGGGGGCAGTATTACAGCAGCTGCCCATCTTCAGTCTCGGTAATTTCTGAACAACAAAAGAAGTTATTAGCATGACAGGTGTCTGGTTCTGGCCCTGGACCATTCCCATGAGTCAAGCAAATTGTAGGGTCTGGCCTACATCATGCTCAACTCCAAAGATATTTCCCTCAAAACGCAAGCCCAGGCCTAGGTCATCTTCAGCATAGTCTGGGAAATCAGCTCTGATCAGTAGTCCTTTAAGGCATACCTCTAAGGCTCCCAGTTTTCTGTTATCACAGAATCCAGTAGAAACCCTTACGGGAGTTTCAATAGGAAAGGCTCCACACCCACCATAGTTGGTGGTGATAATGATCACAATTTGGCTATTTTGGATTCAAGACAGAAAACTGGAGTGAAAGAGCAGGTAAATAAGAGTTCAGACTTGCCCTACCAGAGAGCAAACCATACCAAAGCTACGGCCATTACAATGGTGCTTTCCCAGCACAGTACCAAAGAGATCAAGGAACAGAATACAGCCCAGAAACAGACCCAGAAATATATGAGGATTTAGTATGTGATAAAGATGGTATTTCAAGTCAGTAAGGAAAAGATGAATTATTCAATAAATGGTGTTTCAACAACTAGTTATCCTTTTGGGAAAAAAATGAAGTATGATCCCTACCTCACAGCATACACAAAAATAAATTCCAGACGGATTAAAATCTAAATGTAAAAAATAAAGCCATAAGCAGACTGGAAAAAAACGTAGAATATTTTCACGTTCTCAGAAAGGGTAAAAACTTAGGCATGACATGAACTCAAAAGATCTGTAACAAATATTTCTATTATACATTGGGCTCCAACAGTAAGAATCCAATAGGGAAATGGAGAATGAGCACAAATCGGTAATTCACAGAAAAGAAGGCTTTAACATATACAATGATATCCACCTGGGAAACAAACGGTATGATTCTACTGTTCACCCAGTCATACCAGTAAAGCTTAAGCCTGATGATGTATGTTGGCAAAAGTAAGAGGAAAGCAGCACCCTTGTTGTTGGTGACAGTATAAATTGGTACAATGTCCTCTGGAAAAGATAGAGCCATACCTATGAAACTTATAAACATGCATGCCATTGCCCTAGCAACCCCACTTCTAGGAACTGATGCTACAAAGACACAGTATGCAAAGGTACACACAAGCATGTGCACCGTATCAACTGTTTATACAAGAGAACTGGAGACAACCAACACGTCTATTAACAGGGAACTATTTAAATAAAGTTCATCTACACAATGCAATACTGTGCACCCATTAAAAAGACCCTAATAATGTATACATGCTGACGTGAACAATGGTAATTAAAAACACCAAGCTGTAGAGCAATGTGTTGCCTATGAAACCACTTCTGTTCAGCACTTTCAAAAAGTTTATAACAGCAATTACCTCTGAGTAGTGAGAATGGGGATAAGAAGTCTATTTTCCTTTTACACACAAGCATACCTCACAGGTATTTCAGGTATGGGTCCAGAACATCGCAATAAAGTGAGTGTCGCAATAAAGCAAGTCACATGAATTCTTTGGTTTCCCAGTGCATGCAAAAGTTATGCTTACACTATACTGTGGTCTATTACATGTGCGATAGCATTACATCTAAAAAAGCAATGTACCTGCCTTAATTAAATATACTTTATTGGTAAAAAAAAATGCTAACCATCATCTGAGCCTTCAGTGAGTCATAATCTTTTTGCAATAGCAACATCAAAGATCACTGATCACAGATCACCATAACAAATATAATAATAATGAAAAAGTTTGAACTATTGTGAGAATTACCAAAAATGTGACACGGAGACACAAAGTGAGCAAATGCTGCTGGAAAAATGGCATCAACAGACTTGCTTGATACAGGGTTGCCATAAAACTTCAATTTACAAAAAAAAAATGCAGTATCTGCAAAGTGCAATAAAACAAGGTATGCCTGTACTTCTATTTTTATCATATGCGTCTATATACATGTCCATTTTTTATGCAGTGTTATTTTTGCTTGTTTTGTTTGTTTTATGAGGGGGTGGTAATCAGATTTATTCATTTATTTCTATTTGGAGGAAATACTGGGGATTGAATCTGGGACCTCGTGCATGTCAAGTACACATTCTACCACTTGAGCTATACCCTACCCCCTATGCAGCGTTATTTTTGAAAAACACAAATGGGCCAATACTATACAGTGTTGAAAACTAAACATATCTAAGTATGACTTTCAATATCAAAAAAACTCTTGCATATTACTTCTCATCCTAAGGAAATTTCAGGCACCTCTTATTCTAACTAACAAAGCCCACAGTTTTAAACACAGAGAATTAATGAAGAGCAAAGAAACTACATAAAACGTGAAGTGAGAGTGAATCATAGCACATCATTTACGCTGCAATCCAGTTAAATAGTGACATCTTCTGTAGAAATTTGGTATTACAGTTCAACTTCAATTGACTCTTCTTTACAGAAGAAAGGCGGAAAGATCTGAGAACTGAAAAGTACGGAGGCGTGGAAAAAACCCGTGATCCAAAGGCGATGGTGACAGGGTAGGAGAGCATGCAAGACATAGTGGCTCCACTAGATCTAAATCTCCGCGTTCCTGTTCGCCCCAAGGCTTGTAGCTTCTGAGGCTTTGTGTGTGTGTGCGTGGAAACACTGTCACCTTTTAAATGGAGGTCAATACAGAAGATTCCTTTAAGAAAAATGTTCCAGTCCACTGTGCTAGATATAGTTATAAGTACCCAGGCTGCTGGCTGCATTCTATCTTCATGCTTTTCATTCTATGCCTAGCGTGGGACTAGGATCTGATAAACATGTTCAACAGAACCCCTCTTCATGGCCTAAAAGATAGTAGCTTCCATACAGCAGGTGATAATATGTGCTTGCTGAGGGAATTAATCAATTTCCTTATTTTTTTTCCCTACAAAATCTGTGGTTTCATGGAATCAAAGTTGAACATTGCCTTTATGTTCTAAGAATTAGGGTGCTTATATAAAACTTCAGTTGCCTGACAAGGACTACATCAAAGTGAAAATCCACAGGCAAGTGTTTGGAAGTATACTTTTGACCCTAGTTCTGTTAACGCTTCCTTACACCATGGACAGTACATGTCCCCATTCTTGCCAATTTAAACTGAACAAATCCTTTCCCTCATCCATGTCTATGGTCTTAACTCAATAAGCAGGAGAAAGGCATAAATCACTTCACTTGCTTTATATATATATATAGAGAGAGAGAGAGGAGGGAGAGGGAGAAAGGGAGAGAGAGGGAGAGAGAGAGACAGAGGGAGAGAGAGAGTTACAGAAGATAAGCTTTAGACTATCTGATGTCAACATCAAAGCGGTACACTTACTTTTAGCTTCAATTGCTCTGGAGAAAAAAGCATACCTTAAAGCAATTGACTAAATACATTCAGAGAAAAAGGTCAGATTGAAAGGAACTGACCTCTTCTTGTAAGAGAGCCTTTAAGAAACTACTCCAATATTTTCTGCATTTTCCTTTAACAAGCTCACTCAAAAAGCCACCTTCTTACAAATTACAAACTGCTATAAAGGAATTTGAGCCTTTGATACAACAAACAGAGAGCCTAACTAATCAAGCTACAAATCAAGTAACTTCCAAGATTAAGACTGAAAGTTATAGTTTTATGAATCTTGACTGTAACCAAGGAAAAATCCTATAATTGGCAAAATAAATTGTTTGCATGTAAAACTTCTGACTAGCAGAGAATGAAGAAATAACAAGAAGCCCATAGGAGAGGATTCGAGTCAGTTAAAAATTTCCCCAAGTAAGACTCTCAGTTCTGCACAGAATTAAAGACCTGGGTTCAAACCAAAGACCTGTATGATCATGAACAAGTCACTTAATCCCTCTGCACCTCATTGTCCTTGAATATACGTGGAGATAGTAACTCATAACTCAAAAAAATTCTTCTGCAAGATTTAAAATCCTAAGAACAATTTCACTTTAATGTAAGCCAGTTAGTCTGGACACACCATAAATCAGGCTAATTTTTCCTTTGCTTAAGGCCCACACAAAAATATTCCCACAAAAAATTTACTTGTCTGACAACTTTTCCTCCTGAGACTTCACCATTTTTTATTAAACTATTTTAGTAAAAAAATTATTATAAAATTGAACTCACAAGAAAATGTGTTTGCACACTTACCAACTGTTTCATTTTTTTTTTTTTAGTATCACAGAGCCTTGGGATAGAAAAGGTCATTGAATATACAGTACTACATTTTATTGTTCTAAGATGTACATCCACATTTTAATACCCCCTGAAATTGACATATTACAATTGACAGCAACTTACAACTATAACTGACAGCAGTATAGAAAACAGGGGTAAGTCTTAAAGTCAGTGCTATCTTAGACCTAATGAAACATGGTATTGGAATCTCCAGGCTATTTCCCATCTAGGCACTAAGCAAATAAAATTCTGCCTAGCTACTCTGACTAAGAGTATGTAAACTATAATATGTGTGTGTAAACACAGAGAGAAAAATTCTTTAAAATATTAGAAATAAAAGTGGTAGTGGAATTTAGGGTGACTTAATTCCTTTATAATTTTCTGTGGTTGTATGTGCTTTATAACAAACATGTATTTTTTAATCAGAAAAATGCAACTTTAGGGGGTGGGTATAGTCAGTGGTAGAGTACGGTGCTTAGCATGCACAAGGTCCTGGGTTCAATCCCCAGTACCTCCATTTAAATTGAAAAATAAAAAGGAAAAATGCAATTCTCCCAAACTCCTACTTTATCTCCAATTTATAAATTAGGAATTCAGAACTAACATATACACACTATTATATATAAAATAGATAAACAACAAGGACCTACTATATAGCACAGGGAACTATATTCAATATCTTATTATTCAATATCTTATTATTATGGAAAAAAACCTGGCAAAGAAAAAAATGTATATGTATATATATAACTGAATCACTCTGCTGTATACTAGAATTAATACAACATTGTAGATCAACTATACTTCAATAAAATAAACAAATGAATGAATGAATATGAAAAATGCAATTTTCATTCTGAAGAAAAACTAGATGGGGTGTGTTAACATTGTGGCTCTTTATATATTTTGGGAACATTTAATAGTTCATGGAGTATTTCTTTGGGATTAGTACAGATCAGTTAGTTTAATTCACTATTTCAAACTGGTCAAGATCAGCATGTAAAACTACACTAACATGAATGTTACTGGCGCTGTAATTTTAAATTTCCATTTAATGATTATATCAAAATAAATTATGTTTTTTATATGCACCTCTGAATATCTTCCATGAAAAGCTGATAAATTATTAAATAGGGCAGAAATGTTACTTCGAATCAACAGAAAGCATATAGTTTTCCCAATTTCTATTGTTTAGTAGTAAATCTACACAGAATTTCACATAGAATAGAACAGATATTATTTTTCTCTATCTGAAAATTGAGCTAAGTTTGCTTCACTTATGTCCAAGATTTCACACTTTTTATCTGTTGAGGAGTTCACCTTAACAATCCTCTAAGATCTAAACCTAATAGGAAAAAAATCTAAAAGTGAAAAATGGAATTAAAATGTCAAAGTGTTTCTACTGCTTCAAATTGCCTTATTAATTATAAAAAAATTGTAAAAAGAAAATACTAAACTCTCATTTTTTTCTCTTATTTTGGAGGGGGGGATAATTAAGTTTAATTGTTTATTTTTAATTTAGTTTTATTTTTAATAGAGGCACTGGGGATTGAGCCCAGGACCTCATGCATGCTAATAAGCACACAGTCTACCACTGAGCTATACAACCCCCACCCCCCGCCCACTCCTCTTGTTTGTTTTCCTAAATGAGCTTTCTTTTCAAAGAACATTCTGTGCAAATCCTCAGAGGAATGAAGTATAAGTCATAAAGTAACAAAATTGGTTTTTATGTGTATATATGTGTGGGGGAGTGGGGGAAGGGAATGCTTAAGAACAAAAAGAACTAACTCATGCCCTAGACTGTCAGTACATGTTTTGCCTCTAAGCCACAATACATGAAAGGCTGGGCAGCTACACTGACTAGATTTAAATCTTAGTGTAAGTCAGTGAAATAAATAACTTCTGATGGGTAAAAATCCAAATTTTGTACTTAAGACTTTAACTCAAGTGAGACTTCAAGTTAAAAGGAGCTTTTAAGTATGAATGTCGTGATATATGAGCACAAAGGGTGTTAACGGGATAGGGAAATGTCTACAATAATAATAATACTTAAATGGTCGTCCAATCACCCACAGGACTGAAGAAAATGGGGAAAAGGTCAAAGATTTGGGTCAAATAGATCATTAACGAAGAGAATGAAGGCTGAAAGTTAAATGTGGGTAAGTGGTCTTAATTTCTCAATGAAGAGGTAAACATAAGGCAAGCTTCTACAAAGATGTACTACAATACTGATTCATGAAACAGCAAAGATCAGACATTCATTCTGATCTTCAAGGAAGCTGGGAGAAATCCCATTTTTAAGGAAAATAGTAGCTCCCATGAACTACAATGCCAACATGCAATCAGAAAAAAAGCAACAGTATGAAGTACTAAAAATCAAACATTCACACGATCAAAGAAATTGCGGATGACGAAATTCACGTGTAAATATGACATGGATTTTGGTTCACCCCCCCAGTGTCAATATTGCTTATTGTGTCAATATTCTGAGCTCTCTGAGGTTGTGTGGAGGCAGAGTGACTGTGGACCAACAGTGTTCCCTCAGCGCGCTAACGCTCTTGCTCCAGATCGTCTGCTCTCCCTCCTGATCTATCACACCTACCTCCAAATGACTCATGACCCCCGGAAAGCCAATCTGGCTCCAGAGAGGACATCTGCCACTAGTACGCACAGTCAGAAGAGCATCCCCCCAAGTCCCTATAGCAATTCCTAAAAGGGGCTTTAAAAAATCCCCCAAAACCCAACCAAACCAAAAATCCTTTAAAATATATATTTAGCTTCCAAGGTTTGGTTTGAAAAAGAGAATATTCACTTGGATATAAAGTAGTAGGGAATATATTAGAAAATCTTATTGTAACCAAGTAAAATGAACATGGAAGTACAGTTTGCAGAGCTTCAAAAACATACAGGAAAACCAAGAGCTGCCATTTTTTCCAAACCATGTATTAAATATACTTACACAGTAGCTCTTCAGTCTGATAAAATCTACAGTCATAGGAATGGATCTATCACTATTTCTGTTCAGTGCTTTGATGTAATCCAACAGGTCAGCAAAGAATTTATAGCCCCCCTTGAGGACACAGAGGGCCACAATGTGATGGCCTCCCATCTCCTTCATCACATCTCGAGCAAGCCGTTCGGTCCTATGGGAATAAAATCAAGAATTTAATAGAAATTAAATTATAATATAATAGAAACATTTAAACTTTATAACAAACATCCCTTAAGGATAACCTTCCACAAAACATATCCTTTGCCCCCATGAAGTATATCCTTGTTCATAAAGCAAAGGTAATAATTTTAAAAACCTTCAAAAACCAAGAACACTGTAACATCTATCATAAATTTTTAAAACGCAAATTAAAATAAGATACAATTTTCACCTATCAAATTGGCAAATTCTGATATATCAGAAGAGATTGTGAGGAAAAGAGCACTCTCATATACCATTGGGAGTATAAATTAATACAACTTTTTGGAGGATAATTTGGCTGTATCAAAACATTCAATGAACACCTTCCCCTTGACCCAAAATTTCCTTGTGGATAAAGTTGAGCAACTGCCCAAATGTCTATAAAAGGATGTGCCCTTTTGGTATGATCTGTAAAAGCAAAATAATGGAGAAATCTTGCATGTCCATCAATAAGGAACTGGTTAAATCAATTATGGTCAGCCAGAAAATGGAACGTCATGCAACCTTTAAAATATATCAGATAAGCTCAGTGGTAGAGCGCATGTTTAGCATGCACGAGGTCCTGGGTTCAATCCCCAGGACCTCCATTAAAAAAAATATACATATGAATGATAGCTCTGGATGTACTAATATGAAAAAAATATACAATAAATTTTAGATCTATATGATAGTAATATTCATATGTTAAAATATATAATACATGTTTATAGCCAGTGCGTAGGGAGGAAATGTGTGCAAGAGGCTCTGAGAGAACTTTACTCATCTCATTTAAGCCTCTATAGTTAGAATATTTAGAATTTTAGAATATAGCTATTTTGGAATACTTATAATATTGATATTATAATTAAAAAAAAAAACAACAGCCAGACACACAAGGCAAGCATTTAAATACCAAGTCAAGTTTTTCACTGCAACTCATTTAATGGGAAATTTTCAAGCTAGATGTGCATAATAATCAAAATCTGACATTGCCTTCATATGATTCAGCCCCAGTCCATTATCCGATTCAGGATTGAGAAATCAAAGACTTTGTGCCTAGAGTTCATTCCTCCAGTCTCCCTTCAATGTTTACTTTCTCCCTACAGATTCCCAGTAATATCATGACTTATACTTGGTAATTAGCAAAATGTTCCCACTTTCCTTTTTTGTAAAGAGGGCTTTTAAAATAGAAAGCATCTATTATTTGACAAGCTGGTCTAGTTTATGTTCAAATATCAAATATTTAAAACAGTTGCTGACACCTGAAATTAACATAAGAAACAAAATTTCAATTTAAGATTGTACTAACCTGTCCATAATTAGTCCATGAGGAATAAACACCTTTTCCAAATCCTCAGCATAATGATTAGGTATACAAAATAAATCTAGGTCATAACCTGGTTCATCATCACTAATCTGAAAAAGAAATATGGCTGTTTCAAAGAGAGCATTACAGGATATAAACACTTGATTTGATTTAGAAGTTAAAAAACCATAGCCTATCAGAGAAATTCAGGTATGAGATATCAAGAATGTTTTGTAACTTCATGGGTAAGATAACGAATTTTAGTTGTATAAGAAATCAACTATACGTTCTAGAGATGAATAGTTAAGATTATAGAAGTAAAATGACATAAGAAGTTTTCTTTAGTTCAGCAAAGAGAAAAAGAAAACTTTAAAGAGCTAAGACACATGTGGCAAAATCTAGATATTATAAACATGGGTGATCAATATATGGGGATCATTATACTATTTCCCCCATTTCTGAGTATGTTTGAAAATGTAGTAAAAAATGTTTAATGCACTGTAGTCTAACAAGTTAAAATACCACAGTGAACAAGAAAAACTGCTATTCCCCACCTCAGACTCTCTCATCTCACAGTAGGAAAAGAAAATCACCAAAAAAGTTAAATGATTCTTTAAAAACCCAAACTTCTAGAAGTGTGAGGTTGTTATAATTAACACATGAGGTGCCTTCGTAGTAGATACGATTGTTTGAGTACGACCACACACTGGCTGTCTTGATATGCCCAGTCCCTGGCATACAAAAACACTGATGATGTGGTGCCTGTGGTGGTAAAATGTACTATGATTAGTTTTATAAATATTATATATGCACCTACATACACAGAAAAAATATAACAAAATCATAAAAAGCTTATCTTGGAGAGGGGAGTTAACAGCGATTTTATTCAGTTCTTTATACTATATATTCTAAATTTTCTTCAGTAAGTACATACTGCTTTTTCAAAATTCCAAGTCTTGCTTGTATGAAATGTAGGGGAAAATTTAAAAGATATATTAAACAAATGTACAAACACTATAATACAAAAAATGAGCGGGGGAGGGTACAGCTCAGTGGTAGAGTGTGTACTTAGCATGCATGAGGTCCTGAGTCCAGGCCTCATCCCCAGTCTCCATTAAAAACATTTTTAAACATTAAAAAATAAAAAAATTTAAATTAAATAAAATAAAAGGAAGAGGAGACAGAGAGGGAAAGAGGGAGGAAGAAAGAAAGGGTGGGTATGGAGGAATATACTAATGGTCAATTATAAGAAACAAGGACCTGCTGCCTTCTACACTTTAATACCGACTGGTTATTTTTCCATTGTCAATTTCACTTTATTGAAAATTATAGTTGATTTATAATTCCTACTCAGCATTATATTTAAAACTTATTTAAAGAAATAAACAAGAATTATAATACTCTGTCTCACATAATACTCAAGACTAAAGATCTTCCAAATCACATTCAAGAAGTTGATAACACGAATTTTGGCAGTTTGCAAGAAATATTGGTCAAACTGTAATTAAATCTCAATGTATCAGTTAATATCTACTGAGCATCTCCTCTTTAAATCAGCACTGTAATTAGATGTTTAAGGATAAGTAGCTTGGCTTTCAATACATTTTTAAATATATACTTAAGATTTATATTATTCACATTATATTCTAAGAAATTTGAGGTTCACGTGGTCTCTCAGTCCCAAGAGCTCTGGTTTGAGTTTTCCAGACTTTGGTGGAATTTCAGGTACTGTCATGTCAGGCTGGTACCTGTGCACCACTTCCGCCTGGCACATGTGGCCAGGAGGCTGGTGGCAACTCAGGTAGGTGGACCAGGACATGCCCACGGGCAAGGTCCAGTGGCATGTAGTAAACAGGCACTCACTCTGCATGCAGTCTGAAGTCAATACTGATTTGTTTTTAAACAAACATGTATTACTTTCATACGCAGAAAAAAAATCTATTGGGGGGGGAGATTATGCCAGATCCTCTAAGGTGAAGTATTGATGTACCTGTTAAACATTCATATCATGCTTATTTCAGAATCCATTTATTAACAAAAAGACTGGGAATGGGACATTTGTGTCACCAACAGAAGTATTTCAAGACGCTTCATAACAAGCAAGTATTACTTTTATAAATTTTATAAACTGAAATTTAATTAAAGCTTTGGGAAAAGAAGATAGACCTTGCTAGAGCTTATAAAATGAGAAGATAAACACCCATGTCAGGCTCATCACAATATATCTGCTACTACCTGACAAGAATGAAACTGTACCATTTCACAGTGCTTTTTTTTTTCATTATTATTGGGGGACGGGGATTAGGTTTATTTATTTATTTATTTTGTATTTATGTTTAGGGGGAGTATTGGGGATTGAACCCAGGACCTCGTGCATGCTAAGCATGTGCTCTACCACTTGAGCTATAGCCTCCCCCCCATTTCATAGTGCTTTAAAATCAAGATCCAGAGCACCAAAATGGCTTCCCTGAAGCTTACTCACCCCTTCCTCCCAGTTACTCACTGCTTCTGCCACAATCATAAACCAAAACCCACCCAGGACTCTTTGAAACATGCAACACTTTAAAGACGACTGGTCCTCTGAAAATGGCTCACTGCCTGGCTATGGGTTTTGCAGGCAGCCTAAGAATGTTAAGAGTCTTGTTTGTCTCAATTAAAGCCAATGTGAATTCTGCCCAGGGTTCATCCCAGACATGCAGTCTAACGCAGATAGACCAGCAGGGATGTACCCCCAAACAGGAATTCTCTGTCAACACACCAAATTAACTTCCAATTCAAAAGGTTTTATTTTCAATCAATGTTATTAGATTTATATATCACATCTAGTATCAAAGGGTTGACTTATTTCAAGCAAAAAAAAGTATTAATATCTCTTCCTAAAAGGCAAAAATAAGAATTCATAAAATTTACATCACTTGAGGTATTTTAGGCAGAAATCCATAACAGAAGGGCTCACTATACTATTTGTCTACTTGTGTATGTTTCAAATAAAGTCAAATAAGGAGCAATTTATTTAAACAATGACAAGGCACCAACATAAATGTTTCTCAAGTTTACATTTAATGAAAAAATCCAAGTTTTAAAAATGTGTATTTAATAATTAAATACATTTTAGAATACTAATTTTAAAATGGTGAGGACCTTATTCAGAACCTGTATTCTTACTATTAATACTCAAATATTTATTGAGTACCTACTATGTCGTACATACTAGAGAGTATCAGATAAATCTGACACAGCTATCCTCAAAGAGCTTCCAGTATAGTAGAAGACATGCATACACATGAAAAACCGTAAGACAGTGTTAAACTGCTATTTAAAAATACAGAAAAAGTATCATGGGAGTTTAAGAGGGTATGCAAACTCTCTCAGAAGCCTCACTTGCACCTGGACCACTGATAAGACATAACATAAAATAAGATACAATTCAATAAACAGGAACTTGTTTCAATCATCCCCAACACCAAGGTTTCATATTAAACAGGCCCAATAATCTCAACCTCTACAAGAGCTAGACAGAAATATATTTGGTGATCTTTAATTTTATTGGCCCTTATTTGTCCCATCTGATAGTGGTTAATATCTGATATTAATCAACCCCATCTAAAATGGATTAGTTAAAAATCCAGTGGCTACTGTGATAGGAAGGGATTGCAATATATTACATAAAAATGCATTCAGCACCTATCTATCTTGAGTAAGGCACTGTGCAACAGATTCTGTAGGAGGATATAAAGTGATTATAAATTTAGAGCCTTCAAAGAGATTATAATTTAACGGGAAAGACATATATATACAACTAACTATACAGCACAATAAAGCTTTTAATTTGTACCAAATCTAATTTCACAAGCCCACAAACCTGTGATTATCAAAAGCAGTTATATACACACTAAAGATAAACTTGGAACCCGAGTCACCCACCAATGACTCCCTCCTAAAGCAATACCAAGCTTAAAGTAGTCATTATATCCTGTGGCCTAGGTTATAAATTGAGCAAAGTAGACTGGCATGCCTGACACTGAATTAGCACAGCCTTCTAAATCAACTAGGCAGGGAGGGTGTAGCTCAGTGGTAGTGTGTGCCTAGCATGCTCAAGGTCCTGGGTTCAATCCCCAGTACCTCCACTAAAACTAAATAAATAAAAACCTAATTACCTCCCCACCAAAAAAGTAAACTGAAAACAATTTTTACATAAATATATCAGCTAGGCAATAGCAGTGCCCAGCTTTCTATATGAATATAAATCACATCTGTTTTAGTATGGGACTTTGTGCTGCACGTCTAAGCACATGGTTATTACCGACACCTTCTAAAAGAACTGTATTAGTCTGCCATAACAAAATACTGGGTGGCTTAAACAACGCTAATTTATTTCTCACAGTTCCGGAGGCTGGGGAAGTCCAAGATCAAGGTGCCAGCAAAGTAGGTTTTATTCTGAGGCCTCTTCTCTTGGCTGTAGATAGCCATCTTCTCCTAGCTATGTGGGGCTGGGAGTATCTGGAAAAGACCAGGGTCCCAACCCCATGACCTTATCTAACCTTAATTATGTCCCAAAGGCCCCATTTCCAAATACCATCACATTGTGGGTAGGAGCTTCAACATATGACCGTAACATAAAATAGCCGAAGATCACAAAGAAGGTCCTGGATAGCTTTGGGGAGGGCCCAGCCCCAAAATATTTGGAGGAGAGCTCTGGAGGGGCTGGAAGTGGTAAACAATTGACAATGTGGTTTCTCTCAGATCCACCTTTCCTATCACGATTTCCAGTTCAGCCAGAAATGGCCAAAGGACAGGTTATTAATAACTGAGTTACTTACCATTTACCCAGTTCAGAAATCTAACTGCATCTCCTCAGAGCTTTAGAACACAGCTCTCAAATTCTAATCTATCTGTAATATACTTGGTAAAATCTACAAGGCACTTTTATTAATATGAAAGATTACTGAAAAAATATAACATTACTAACCTTTCGTTTAGAGCCAGTCAATACTTTTGCTATCACGAATTACCAAAGTAATTTTACTTTCCAGTAAAACTAGAACCACAAAATCTTAATAATTACATGTGTCACATCTATAATAATGGTTTTCATACATGAAAAACTGTGGTTTACACATAAAATTTCTAACTACAAAGACGTATTATCTAAATTTACAGTAAGCAAGGAAATCAACTTGTGCTAAGACAACACATGCAACATCAATTCATCGTCTGTAAGCAGGACTGCTTAAGCCTGTTTGCGGTCAAAAAAAATGACAATGTTCATGGTCCAAACAAGACTAAACTGAAGTGAGTCTTAAAATGAGCTACATGAATTAAAAGATGTGCAGTAATAGATAAAATATATTTTATTTTATTCCTAGTAACCAACGATTCCAACCTTCTAGAACAGGCAGAAATTGCCAGGTGGCATATTTTTACTTTTTATATTCAGACACTTTAAAATTCTCAGAAAACACCAAAGCAAATACATCATCCCTTGGGATAATTTTTGATAACTCTGGGTATCATTAAGACTGAAATTATGAATTACTGATGCATATATTCCTAAAAGTGAAAATACCTTAAGCTATTAGTATGTTTATTTTCCAATTTTATATTAGTCTTACAAATAAATTACCTATATAACTTGATTGCTTTCCCTTCTAAGTGTTAAAGAATTAAAGTCAGGGTTCTGTTCAACTCAGGGATAAATCATTAGCTGCTCCTAGGTAAGTGGGCCTGTAACTATCTGTATGTGCAAAGACATGCATTTATCCAACACTACAATCTTTCCTTTCCACTGTGTACAGTGGAATAACAGGCATGTTAATTCTGGACAAAACATACATAGCTATCAATTACCAGAAGCACCACAGTGCTGAAGCAGTAGTTCCACAGCAATCTGAAGTGTTTGTTTGAATTCTTATTAGTAGCAAATTATTCTAAATATTAGTAATTTGGTGGCCACTGGCAGGAAAATAACAATTGCGTCTCAATACTGATATTACCAATGGTGGTTGACACTTTTATTAAAACACATGAATCTTCCCAATGCACACAACATACAATTACACATAGGAAGACGAGTACATTAGCACATCTTCAGCCATCTCTTCACACCAGGCCAAAAATGCCACGGCCCAGTTACTGCCTAGTGAACTACAGAAATCTACAAGAGAACCCCAAGACCCCTCATCTCTGCTGATCTGCTTGGTCTTTTTGTCTTTTTCCCACCTCCTGCCTACGGACTTTCTGCGATACCTAAATACAAAAAAATGGACAGAAAACAATTAAGATGAATCTATAGTATGAGTGTCACATTAATTGACGTGTAGAATGAAACTTCCAAACTCAATTGCTCCATTTCTTGGTGGTCACAAAGAGTAATTTTGGTCTAAACTGACTAATATAAATTAGTCAGTCTATATCCTGTTGATAACAATGATAGAGTTGTGGGCAAACAAAATGTGCTATTTTATCAATTCTGTGAAAATTATTAGCAGGGTAAAATTTAATCCAGTTAATACAGCATTATGTTTCTAGCACTATGACCCTGAAATTTAGAAGATATTTATTCACATAATGTATATCTGATGTTTCACATTAATCTGCAAAAATCCAGAAGCTTGTTTTTAGTTCCAGCGTATCCAAGCTTACCCTGGCAGTTTAGGATGATAGCTACAAGTAGCATGGGTCTAGCAGGCAGACCTGGGGGCCAATTTCATCTAAGTGGTATCAGGCAATTTACTTCACCAATCTGTGCCTCCAAGGTCATACTAACTCTTGTAGTGTGTAACTACCTCACTGAATACCTATCATGCATCTTTGGGGCATTTACATTAGATAATGCTGCAAGACATTTACTTCTGTGCCTAAGGCATAATAAATACTAAATAAATACATACCACTGGCACTACTAACATAGAAGTGGAGAGATTAAGAGCACACTCTGGGGCCAGATAGGTTAAATTCAAATCCTAGTATTGCTGGGCAATCTTGGGAAAGTAATCTAACCTCTCTGAGCCACGTAAATTTTTTTTATAAGTATCAAACCAGTTAATAATGTGTAAAGGGCTTAGTAACCAGCACATAGTAAGCACTACTTAAGTGTTTGTTATTGCTAATATGCAGAAAATTTCTGGGAAGGAAATAAAAAAAGGAACAGGAATTTGCAAGCCAAAAGCACAATGACTATCTTGATGTTCAAACAAAGCTAACAAGAGCCAGTTCTAGCAAAAATAATTCACTGTATGCTGAAGCAAGCATTGGAACCCAAAGCTTAAAGTGTCTAACTTCCTCAGCAACTGAAGAAAAACAGTTGAGTACCTACTATTAACAAAATATTTAAGTGCAGGAGCCCTTTTGGAGTCTGCGGTTCAATTCCCAGTACCTCCATTTAAAAAGAAAAAGAAAAGGAAAAAAAAAAGAAAAAGAAAAGGAAAAAAAAATTACCGTATGACATAGGTATGTTACATTAAAAGGTTAAGTGACTGAACCTCAGAGACTTTAAGGATTCCTCACCTGTAAAATGATAATCATTCTATTGTTAGACGGTTGTTTTGAGGACTAAATAGGGCTAATGTAAGGTAAACACAAAGATCGATATTATTACTATTCCCAGTCAGGGGCCATACAAAGGTTGTTCATTAACAAAGACCAGCTATCCTTTCAATAACACCATGAGGTAGGCTAGCACCTCAGTTAAACATAAGGACATTTCAGTCTTACCCAAGGCCACATAGCTAGTAAATAGCCCAAACAAGCAAGACTCCAGGCCAGGCTCCATTAAATGCACTACTCTTTACCATAACTCACAATGTCGAATATGAAATAGAATCTTTCCTTTCTTAGGGCATAAGTGGTTAATTATTTAATTTATTCATCCAACAGACCATCACTGAGAATTTCTTACATGCCAGGCACTGTACTATGCGCTGCGGTTACAGTGGTGATTCCTGTCCTTATAAAGTTTATGTTTTTGTGTAACAGACAATCAACAGGTAATAAGGTAACCGCTTAAATAAATAAATAAATAAATAAATAAATAAATAAATAAATAAATAAAACAAAATAATAATAATAATAACGCAGGCTAAGGCATTTAACCGTTGAGAAAAGGTTGGCTATTTTAGCAAGCGTGATCCGAAAGGGAGTATGGGGGGAGGGGCAGCTTGGCATGTTCGAGAAACAAGAAAAAGAACCAATGAGGTTGGAGACAGGGTACCAGAGACGGATTATGGTACTAATGTCCTTGAAGGACCAGATTCGCATTTTTTGTCCCCTGCGGCATCAAAGAGCGTAAGATCCGGATTCAGGCAGATCTGATTACGAGGCCTGGCTACCTCTGGGCCGTGGGAAAATTACCTACTATCGGTTCACTATTTTCTACGTGTGTAAAAAGGTAGGCATGGTTACCGCTGCCAAGGCTGCCGTGAGGATGCAATGAGGCAATGCGCATTCCCACAAATATTCATCATAATGTTTGCAGAATTAGGCGAAAATACCAGTCCCCGCATGCCTCCCATGTGGTCGTTTCCGTGCCCGGGCCCTCTCCGGAGATGCCCGAGGACCTCATCCCCACACCCCAAACCTACAGAGAAGGGTCGCTAGTAAGAAAGCCCCCACCCTCACACCGCCAGATCATTCCCGAACTGGCTCGCACGGCCCCTCCCCACAGCACGCTCGCAAGCGGCACATGTCAACCAAAACGCCATTTCCACCCTCTCTTCCTACACGCAGCCCTCCTTCCCGGGGCTCTCCGGAGGCAGCCAC